CTGATACCATCTGTCATGGACTTAGCTAGTTTTGCCTAAGTCGTGCGGCACCCTTGCGTGTCCGTCCGCAAATGTCAGCCTCCCCGAAGCCTCCCATGTCCCTTAGGACCCATAAAAGAGAGAACGGATTAGAGAAAACGCCTCATTCGGGATCCACAAGCAAACATCTCTGAAAACACTTCATAGACAATGCAAATTACAAACAGACTTTACAAGCTCTGAATAGTTGCACAACAAAGGGTAAAATGGTCAATTATAGACCGAAAATCTCTCACACGTGTCCACATGACACAACCTTTATTTACAAGCCTAAAGAGGCCACCAAACTAACTAAAATGGGACTATTAAGCCTTCGGTCGCCCCTTTACATGTTGTACAAGGCATGAACATGCCAAAAAACACGGACATACATAAGTATTACATCAAACATCTTGTTTAGAAGTTTGTCCTTGACAGTACAGTACACAATCATGAAGCAACAAAAGTAATCAAGGCGAACTCGATAGTTTAAGTAAAGAAAAGAGAGTCGACAGAAGATATTTTTGCCAACTGGTTCAACTTGGTGAATCAGCAATTCAATGAATTGCTGAAAATAAACTTTGAAGAACTCAGCAGAGTGATATAAATCTTGTCTTGAAAGAGTCAAGACCCAGTCTCAGTGGACTGAGTAGTGACATAGACATCTGATCAAGTCAAATAAAAACTTGGACCAAAAGACAGAAAGTTTTTTGCCTTGTTCTAGGTATAAAATGTGCCTAAGTTCTTATATCAGAGAAATACATAAATTAAGGCAACCAACCAATTTGCAGAAAGCACTCGGGGAAGACTCGATGTCAATTATAGAATTCCATCAAAGAATCATATCTATACACATTCAGACATATGCATCATAGAAAAGTAAGATGCAACAGCTCAAAGTAATGTATAACATGATGAATTATATGAAAGACATACCTCTAAATGGTTTCAGATTTTTTCCCAGTGAGAATACGCGATATCTGGAGACCTCGACTGAATGCTTCATTGAAGAGAATCCTTGTCTGCATTTCCTGGAACCCAGGCATCCAGGACAAAAATGCCACTGGAGCCATTACAACCAATCCAAACATTATGTCATAGAGCCGAGCCACGGCAACCACAGTTTCCCATAGCACAGTGGATTCAATGAATGGTTTGATCACTTGAGCAATCGAAATTAAACCCCAACCAGTTGGAATAAATGCCAACAGGCTTGTAAAGATATCAACAATCTCAAAGGAAGTAACCTCCAGTAATAGAACGGTCACAAATATCACGAAGATTATTATGAAGGACTGGATGGCTCGATATGTTATGTGTTCCTTTGCAGCATACTTGTCTCGAGCATAATTCACATAGACAAAAATCCCTACAGCTGCAACAATACATATCCAAGAAAGTAGGTACACAGCAACACTGTGGCTCCCATCAGCAATTTTTAGCTGGTACACAATCCCATATTGGAATAAGAAATACCGGAGATCTAATATGATCTCCAATAGCTTTCCCCAGAGGCCAGTTGTCCGAAGATGATCAGTTTCTTCATTCCACCATTTCTCCCAGGACAGGTCAGATGTAGCAGAAATATAACTAGGATACCAAATCCAGGTCATGAAATCATCAAAGTCATAGACAGTTTTTAACCAATCAAAACCAGATGGGTTGAATGCAAAGGGAGCCAAGATCCATGATACCACCAGAAACCAGCTAGAGATTGTCATTACTATGTAAACAAAAGTATTCTTCGCAAGAGGACTGTAGGAAGCATATACAGTCAATATCACGCCAATCTCTATTGCTTTTATGAAGTGGCTACGTGAAAAAAGTCTATAATTCTCTGCAAATTTCTTGTGTTCAACCACAAAACCACGTCCTGTTGGCCTATATTTTGCACCGCCATGGAGGATTGTGCGCCCATAATAATGGGCCTTAGTTCCCAAGGAGAAGGTATAGAACATCGATGCAAGCTGGAGCTGCATTGTCAAGAAATCCCAAATTGCAGGAAGAAAGCCATGCTCAATAGAGTTTTCAATAACCATTGGCAAGGCAGTGAAAAGGCCAAGCTGGATAATGAACTGCTGGTTGATAACAGTACCCAGAGCTGCATTGTCAGTAGAGTCAGCAATGTTTTTGATGGAACTTTCTAGACCACTAAGTGCCAGATAAACATGTCCCCAAATATATGCATATACAGTCAGCACCACCATCATGGTGTTAAAGTAGAAGCCCACAGTTGTGTAAAAGAAGGAGAGCATTCGGAAGAAATCCAACCTATGACCCAACCTATAAACATCTCTGCTTAAGGTCTGTTCACCATTGCCACTAGCAACCTTGGCTTCAAACATAGATATCTGATTCAGGCCTACATCCCGTCCTTTCCCCACCTGGATGTATTCATGGTGGGTGACATTGCCACCACGAAGCGTGCAATTAAAGCCTGCAAATATGTCCTCACTGATATTGATGACTCTGGATGCCTTACTAATGCCACCTCGGCTCAGAAACCAAAGGCGATCAAAGACATCAGGATGGCCATAGTGCATTCGGACCTTCAAAGGATTCGCCAAAACCCGTTGTCCAAGTGTGACAAAGCTTGTCTCCTGTGCAGACATGAACCATGCGAGGGAGGACACTGAACCAGTAAAAACATGTTCACGAACTCCCAAGATTGTTGGTTTTCGAGCACCATAATTATAGGAGTACTCCTCTAACAGGTTGCGCATTTTGAGGGCCTCTTCAAAATAATTGTCTTGATTCATGTCAATCGTCTGCACTGCATCACCCCTTGTGAAGATGAGGGCATGGTTCTGGTTCTCTGGTTTGCCTTCTCCAAGCTTCAGTGGCCCTGGCAAACGGACCCGGTATATCTCTACCTCTTTCTCCAGTTGCTGATCATATCTCACAAGAACAGAGTAATATTCCACTTCATCCCTCCCGGACTTCTTTTCATCAACATAAGCCACACGAAGGGCTTCATTGTTCTTCATTAGATACAAAATATCACTGGCACGTGCATCATTCTTGGCTTTCTGGTTTCCATAAATCTGGCAGGCCAGCACATAAGTGTACTTCATCATGGCAGTCCCATGTTCATGGCCTTTAAACAACAAGCTGATACCACTGCTAGCTCTGTTATGGTCTCGTGATAGTGACTTGCCCCCATCTTCCAAGCCATCTATATCATTTATTCGTCTCCTTGACAAACCAACAGAAGCTAGCTCCCTTGAACCATCGCTGATGTCAATCTCGGAAGCATTATCAAGAAAGGTAAGCATTTTGAGAGCCCTGTAATAGTACATCATTCCTCTCACCGTGCGTGACAGTGTCTGACCCCTATATGAGGCCCAAAGGCGAAGATCTCTCGACCTTTTGTTCCATAGCTCTTCCTCATCAACCATGCCTTCTCTATGCATACGTTCCAAAAAGTTTGCCCAGTCATCTTCATAAATCTTCTGCAGATAGAATATGATAGAGATGCCATCTTCATTCTCAGAGTGAAGCTGCTCCTTGCTGTACAGAACTTCCTCATTGTAATATGGAGTCAAGACACTAAAGGCCCTCATCTTTTCCACCTTGGGAGCTCTGGGCATGTTCATGAACAATGAGTTGCTGAAGAAAGCAATACGCCTTCGGGCCTCCAGATTTTTCGGTACACTGTTCATTGAATCTTTCGATGTAAGAATTGTGTGTAGCCGTCTTACCTGCCTGTAGAAGTTCTCATTGTCTGCATTGGGCAATTCAATGGCATTCTCAAAGAGCAGATCACTTGATCCCCTCGGTGCCAACCCTGCTTCTTTAAGTTGCTTGATGCTCTTCTTGTTATTGGGGAAGTCACGGGTAACTATGTCATAGAGGGTCTGCAATGTGTGGACCACTTTGTTCCTGTCCTTGTTTGGCTTGACCAATGTACCCAGGAGGATAACCAGTTTATCATATATACTCTGCAGAATGAACATATTATATTCCACCGAAAACTTCTCCACCCGAATCCAATTATCAAACTCCTCATATACCCGGGCAACAATGGAATGCTCTTCGGTTCCTTTATTGATGATATCCAGAAGCAAGGACTTGATGCTGTCATATACCTCAATTATTGCACATCGCCTGTATTCATTCTTGCAAATCATTCTCCAGTGTTTTCTGTCATTAGCCTTGTATTCGTTTACCAGGCTGAGAGCAAGCAACAGCTCATTGCAGAGTAAAATGCATGGCCACCTAATCACCCGGATCTTCCATGTATAGGGTGGCAGCTCAAGAAGCTCTACTTCACGGTCACTTAAAATATCCTCCTCCCTGAACGTTTGAATTATCTCATTCCATATCAATGCAAACCTGCTGGGACCAACCTCATTCGATTCAATCTTCTTGTATGGGCGCCCCAAGCCATACCTCAGCTTTAGCCGGTTGACAGCATCTCTGAATTTACTCCTCAGTGAGTCATGTTCCTCGGTTGGTTGCTCCTCTGGCATCAGATTGAACTTCATTGCACTAGCAAAGAACTGGAACCTCAGTCTCAACTGCTGGACATCACGAATCTCACCCAGGTGCGAGAACAGGCCCACTAGTGCGCCAACAAATGAAGAGAAGATTGAGTACCAAATCTGGATATCCATCAGATAGATCAGGATGACAGGAAGCCACAAGATAACCACGCCGAACCTGTTGGTGCGAGAAAAGAACTCATGCCACTCATACTCAATGTTTCGAAGTTCGAGCATAGCCTTGGTAGGGGCAACCATCGGCTTGATCTGGAGGAAGTAACTGAAGGAGAACTTGGCAGAAAGGAGTGCAATCCAGAAGATGGCATACTTGAGGTTGTCCAACAAGCCCTCCCTGAGCCCTCTACCGATGAATATTCGGCTCTGGAACCACCAAGTGAGCATGTAGAAGATTCTCCAATTGGTCTTCTCGAGGAAGTTCCGGAGCCAGGGCAGGATGAAGAGGATGATGGCGAGCAGCTCTGGGAGGATGAATACAGCAGCCGCCTCGAGAAAGTTCACCAGCTGCTGGTTTGCGGCCTGTGACCACCGCCTGTCACGGTTCCTCTGCTCCCATATCTGGGAGTAGAGAACCGAGAATGCAACCGTCCACGTGATGGCGACGAGGCTCTTGAGCACCATGCGAACCCCGAGCAGCTTGGTCTCGGATGACACGAGGCTGTACTGGGTGCCGGCGTCAAGGATGGACTGGAGCAACCGGAGGCCAGCCCAGGTGATGAAGATGGTCAAGACCCGGACCTGGTCATCGCGGGTCTGGAGATTCTGCCACGGGTATGTCTCCCCACGCCATGCCACGATGATGGCCGCCTGTAGGAAGAGAATGAGCATGACCCACAAGCGGTCGAAGCTGCGGAAGAGGTTCCAAAAGGAGCGCTGCTCCACGAAGCCCGTCTTCCCAATGCGGTTCTTGTTGGGCGGCGTCAGGAAGAAGTCCTTGGACCGGTCAAGGGGCCAGCGGAGGCGCTCGAAGCAGTGGTTGCTCCAGAAGTACTCGTTGATGTCGTCATAGTTGCGCCAGGCCGAGTTGGGGGCGGTGCCATTGCGGCTGGCCTCGACCTCGCCCTGGATGGTCAGGTAGATCGGGGTGACGACGCGGGTGAGAAAGCCGTTCTCGCCGGAGGTGACTGGTAGGGCGCGCTGCCCCGTGGCGTCGTCAATGTAGCCCTCGAGGACGCGGTTGAGGTCCATGGCCATGTTGTGGAAGATGTAGGAGAGGCACTCGGGGAGGAAGCGGAGGTTGGCGGCCTCGCCCCAGACGAGGAGGTAGAGGGAAACGTAGAGGAGCTCGCGGCGGGGGTCCGGACTGGCGCGGCGGAGGCCGGAGTCGGGGAGAGATACGTGGGGCTTGCGGCCGAGAAAGGCGCACCAGGTGGTGTAGTTGTGGAGGAGCTTCTTGCGGACGTGGCGGACGACGGAGGGGACGAGGACGTCCGCGTTGTCCGGCGGGGGCTGGAGGCGCATCTGCGCGTTGGCGAGGAGGAGGACGAGGTGTTCCCGCTGGTTGCGGACGTTGTCTCGCTGGAAGCCGAAGGAGATACCAAGCCAGTCGAGGAGGTCGAGACCGGAATGCCAAGGGACGAAGAGCGGCGTCGGGATCCCGACCATGTCGCGGAGGGCATCCATGGCGGCGCGAACCTCGGGGAAGCGGAGGCAGGGGTGGTCGGCGAGGAGGTTGTGGATGGGGATGATGTTGTAGACATCCTCCCCCGGGCCGCCGGCACCGGGCGGTCCAACCATGTTGCGAGGCGGCGCCGTCGGGCCGGGGCCATAGACGGCGCCCGGGCCGGTCCGGGTGGGGCGCTGGCGAAGGTTCATGGCCGCATCAGATCTGGGCGAACGTCTGTACCTTTCCCTCTCCCGCTCTGCTGTGTCTTCTTCTCCTTTTCGAATCTTTTTGAGCTGTAGAGAGAGGAGAAACTCGTAGCTTCGGAGCGGGGGAATAAAATACGTACAAAAGTGTAAGCTGACATGTAAAATAGAGAGATTTAAGTGAAAAATGCAAGTTTCCTTCTTCTCTCCTCTTCTTTTCTTTTTCTTATTCTCCTTTTTAGCGCTCGTGAGTCGAAAACTCCCAAGCCACATACTTCTGTGGGACCCAGACGCAGGATGAGAAGGAGACAATTTTGGGGAAACAAGTGCGGGACGCGTGTAACGAGGTACATTTTCTCTTGTGTGTGTCTCACTCGCTCTGCTGCCAATCTCACGCCCCAATTATTTTCACCAAATCACCAACCATGGCGACGTTCGATGGAGGAGCTTATCGCGTAGAAAATTACTCTGCGGTTACAACGGCTTCTCCCCCTATGGCGGTTTCTGGAACGAGGTAATGACGGGACGACGCGGAACAAACGGCGACTGTTGCTTGGCCGGGAAGCAAGAGGAAAAGAGGCGAAGAAAGGACGATAATAAGAGGAAGAGCAGGCAAGTACCTCTCGACGGTTCTCTTCTCTCTTTCTCTTCTCTACAACTTTGCTAAGAGCACAAACAGTAGAAAGGAAGCGATCATGTACCTGCGAACAGAGCGAGACGAGAGGAAGGAGGCAATCTGCTGCCGATCCAGTGACGGCGATGGGGCAACGGGCGAGTGGAATGTGGTGACGAGAGGAGAGGAAGGGCAGCGGTGGCTTTGGGGTGCAATGAAGCTTGCGTGGACGGCTTCGCTGAGGTTGGAAACCCTCGGCGTGAGATATGGGCGGAGCCCCTCTTTTGTGTATCTTTTCTCCGACGACGCAATGAGAAGAGGTCTCTTCTACCAGATGATTCGGTACCCGCCGACCCCCGTACGTTATCCTGACTCAGCAGGTCATTGGGTCCCACGGGGGGCGATGCGTGTGATCCTAGCGAACGGTGTGAAGCGGTGTGAAAGGTTTTCGCGGTGCTTTCGAGTTTGGCAATCGAGGAGCTTTGTCGTCAGGCGATTGAAGGGTACGCGTCTCGCCTACCCGCGCTACTAGTCGACCTTGGTAAGTGGATTCCACGGCTTCCTCGTGGCTACCAGGCACGCGAATGGGTAGGAAACGGTGAGTTGTTAATTTGGACTTGGTAATGGCGTCGTTTCAGTATCTTACGGCTGCTTGTGCTTTTCTGAATCCGACCCGCGAGAGGCTACCGTTGATGGACGAGCGGACGAGGTGAGTGCAGCACTACTCTCGAGGTGGGCCGCGGAAAAATTATCTCACACGTGCCATGCACGTGGCGGGTGGCAATCAGTGAACCCGTATGTGGGGCCAAAGACCGCAGTCTTTCGGGTATCGTCAAATCGCCCCACGTATAAATCTCTTCCCCTATGAGAGACACATGGGCCGAGGGGCCTGATGGAGCCATGTCATGTAAAATATTCTCATGCGTTGGGGAGAATATTATATATGTGGTCCATCATGTTGGATGATTGAGTTACATTTATGGGATAAATTGATGAAATAGTTGGTGTCATCCTTTACCTGACACTCGTGTTGTAGATAATTGTTAGTACTTAGCACATTAATATTCAAAAGGTAAAAAATAATAATAATTTTCAAATTCCAGATTTAAAAAACTGTTCCACACCAGCACTGCAGGTGTGAGGCATGTGCCGAGATCTGATACGTTGGATTGTAGTGCCAAAAGCCTCTTGGCTTGTTCTTATGATTGGAATTTTCCTTGTACGTAATAATTTTTATTAAATATAGTCTAATATTCGGATGATTTTTTTAAAAAAAATTTTCTTTCAGTTTTAATTTTTCTATTTGATTCTTTTTTCTTTAATACCCTCTTATCGTTACCATCTCCTTCGGATGGGTATTGTCGATCGTCACCTTAATCCTATCATGATTGTCTTTCACTATCATCTTATCCTCTTAGTACGAGGCATGTCTTTTATCTTCTCAAAATTTTTATTAAATATAAGTTTAGGAGTTGAGATTATCATGATTGTCTTTCACTATCATCTTATCCTCTGAGTACGAGGCATGTCTTTTATCTTCTCAAATTTTTTATTAAATATAAGTTTAGGAGTTGAGATTAAAGATGATCATGATTGAGTGAAGACATCTATGATAATGTAGAAAAAACCACACTAGGATGAAAACTATCATGACAATCGATAATATTCATACGAAGAAAAAGGTGATAGTGATGATAGGCATTTAGGTACCAGAGAAGAAAGGGACACCAAATATGAAAATTGAAAACTAAGATACCTTCCTAGAAAAATCTAAAAAGAAAAGTTTTTTTTAATAAAAATCACCACTACTATTATTATATAAATATGGGGTTTATATATATATATATATATATATATATATATATATATTGGTTGAATCGGATGAAAGATCTTGACCCGCATACTGGGCATACTGGTGATACATGGAATGAAATTTGAAACCATGCTTCCAAAAGAATGAATCGTAGTTGTCTATTGTCCTACTTCAGTTGCACTTTAGACATACTTCCATCCTTAAGTATGATCATGTCAACAGACCACCAAATGTCTTGCATCCTCGAAGGAAGGTGCGCCATAAGACAGCATTTGGCTGAAAGGGCATGCCACTGATCACAAGCTCTGCTTTCTTTAGATGCCCACATTTGCATAGCAAATCAACCACACACACATAGTGATCCATCTCTGGTTCAATGCCATAGTCACTCTTCATGCTTTCCAACATCAGCATCCCCTCTTCCACAAGACCTCCATGCCTGCATGCTGAAAGCACTGCGAGGAAAGCGACACTGTCGGGCTCGAACCCTTCGGACTCCATCTGCTTAAACCTCGCAAGCGCTTCATGAGGGCAGCCATGGAGTCCTAATCCTGAGATCAGCGCCGTCCATGAAACGAGGTTCTTCTTATCACCCATTTCATCGAACACCTTCAGACAACCGTCCAGGCTGCCGCATTTTGCGTACATATCCAGCAACACGTTGCAGACGAAGGTGTCCATGCAACCAGAGATGGTCTTGACGATAAGCCCATGGACTGACCTCCCGAGCTCCAGGCTGTTGATCCTTGAACAGATGCTCACCAAGCTCACCGCGGTGTAGTTATCGATCGAATGACCAGAGGATTGCATGCGTTTGAACGACAACAAGGCTTCGGAGTAGCCGCGATTTCGAGCACAGGCATTCAACAAGATGTTCCATGACATGGTGTCAGGAGTTTGCAGCCGGAGAAGCAGCTCCTGTGCCTCTTGGTATCGACCGGCTCTGTTGTGAACACTGGCTGTAGCATTTGATCGAGCAGTAGAGGTAGCCACTGGATCAGCATCTTTGACAGAGGAGGAGGCATCAGATGAAATGCCAGGAGAATCATATGAGGCAATGAGGGCACTGGAAACATACTCGTTGTTGTCGTGTCCCATTCTTATGATCAATGAATGCAGCTGCTGGAGTTCGGCCGGAGACAGTCGCGTGAGCATAGAAGAGAAGGACAGCTCGTTTGGTCTATTCTCCGATCGCAACATCGACTTGAGAAGAAGTAAACAGGTAGGTGGATCATCCTTTGAATAGCCTGAGATGAGAGCATTCCAACAAACTACATTCTTCACGGGAAGCTCGTCGAACACTTTGTGCGCATCCTGCAGCCTCTTCCAATTTGCATAGTAGTCGATCAGCGAACTGGCGACGAACATGTCGTTGTCAAGATTGCGCTTGATTGCTTTGGCATGGATGAGCTCGCCGTACTCTGCGGAGTCGAAGCAGGTGCAAGCATTGATCACGGTGGCGATCGTAGCCCCGCTGGGTGATACTTCATCGACATGCATCGCGAAGAAGAGCTCCAAGGCTCTCTCCGGGATACTACTCTTCGCGAACCCTGTCATCATCGTGTTCCAAGAAACCACGTCCCGAGTCTGCAAACTGTTGAAGAACCGCTCAGCTGCGAGCACTCCCGAGCAAGTGGAGAGTGCATTAAGCAAAGCATTTGCGACGACAAGGAAGGAATCCATCGCGGTCTTCACAGCGAGCCCATGAATTTGCTCCACACACCGCAAGCTATCCGATGAGCGGAGAAAGCACAAGATGCCCAGAAAAGAGCATTCCGTCAGACCCATTCCAGTTCCCAACAGCCGTCGGAACAAGAACATGGACTCCTCGACGAAGCCGCGCCGGGAGAACGCCGCGATGGTGGAGTTCCAAGTGACGACAGTCTTGGTGGGCATTTCCTCGAACAGACCGAACGCATCATCCAGTCTCCCGTTCCTCGCGTACAGGCCAAGCAAAGCGGTGCCGGAGAAAGGGTCGGCGTGTAGAAACCCGGACTTGAGTATCAGAGAGTGCAGTTGAATGCCACGGTCGAGATCGAGCGAAGGGAGGGAGAGAAGGGGTGCAAAGGCGAAGCGAGTGGGTCTGAGGCCGGCAGCCAACATCCGGGAGAGCACCGCGAGCGCCTCGCGCGCGTGGTTCCGGTGAGCGTAGACGGCGACGAGGGAATTGTAGGAGGCAGAGATCCGGTCGAACATACGGAGAGCATCAGGGAGGTCATCTCGGTTCAAAATGGTGCGTATACTTTTATT